TTCCCCCCCTGAGCTCCCCCAGCTGCTCAGGTCTCTCTGCCTGTTTGTTCCCTGAGTGTAGGGAAGGGGAAACATGGACGGTGCCTCAAGGGGCTGGGGACCAGCACCCACCATGTGACACGGGACACCCATCACTGAGGGGCTGGGGACCAGCACCCACCATGTGACACCGGACCTGCACCACGGGCAGAGGGATGGGCAGCACCATCCCCTTGGATTAAGCCCCATAATATCCCTGTGACCCCCATCCTGCTGCACCACCTCCTCCCAGGGGCAACCTGGGGCTTGGGGGCTTTTCCCCATCCGAGCCTGGATGATGATCAGGGTGTCTCCCAGGATGCAGAGTGGTAGGAACAGAACAAATCACAGGCTGTGATAACAACAAAAGAATGTTCAAATCCTCTTTATAAATATGGAACCAACTGCCAAACCTGCATTTTACAGACACAAAAGGACCCAATCTATCAAGTGCCCCTGGCCTGTTTTCTTTCTCACCCCACGGATCAGTCCCCCGGGAGCTGACACGTGCCCAGGAAGCGCCAGGGAGCTGCACACGCACACCCACACCTTTCCCGCTGGCTGGACACCCGGCTGGAGATCCAAACGCCCTGAAGAGGGACCTTGCCGGCAGCTGGGTCACCCCAAACCTCACCTGTCGTGCCCCACCGGAAGCTGCAGCGCTGGGGACTCTCCAAAATGCTGGCGCACGGCTCTGGGCCAGCCAAAATGGCACAGCCCTGGGCTGTCCCAAAGACCTGGGCGGGACAGAAAACATTCTGGGGTTAGGGCAAAGCTGATGGCAGGTGCCAGTTCCCTCCTGCCCACTCCCACCCAGCCCGGCTGCACACGTGGCACTGCAGAGCTCTGCCAGCGCACGCGGCACTCAGGGACACCCCGAGCCAACATTCGCCCCTGGACATGGCCACAAAGCCCCAAACAATGGAATTCAGGCCAGGGGAGAGCCCCCCCGGGCACAACAGCCAGGACCGAGCCCAGAACTGCTAATGCCCAACGTGGGAACCCAGCAAAACCCAACCCGTGCTCCCCTCCTCCTCTCGCTGCGGCACACTTTGGGACCATGGGAACTTGATCCCACAGGCTGGAAAAGCTCCGCACTAACCTCCCAAGGGCCCTGGAGCTTGCTGGGCCTCAGAGTAATTCTAGAGCTAAAGCGGTGAGAGACATCAGCTCAGCTCAGCTAATACATGCCAGCACTCATCCCCGGCCCAGGCAGTGCCTCCTCCGGCCCGGCCCAGCCCACACCCCCTGTCCCCAAAGCAGGACGCTCCCGCCTTCAGCCGGGACCCCGGAGCACAGCTCGGGGCCGGAGCCATCGCCGCTGCCGGCAAGAGAAACCCGCCCGCAGCCGCTTCCCGGAGCCGGCAGGGCTGTTCCCGCAGGAGCCGCTCGGCTGCGCCGGCATCGGGCTCCGGATCCTCCCGCGGCCGCCTCGCCGGCCCGGACGCTCCGTCCTGGGCCCGCCGGGCTCGGGGCAGCGGCTCCGGCCCCGCGGCCTTGGGGCGGCACCTTCGACAGCCCCGGCCCATGGGGCAGCTCCAGGGCCGGGGGGTTTCGTGCCCGCGGCATCCGCCGCCCGCGGGGAACGAGCCGCCCGGCAGCCCCCCCCCGGGACCCCCAAACCCGCCGGCACCTCGGCACCCCCGCCCCGTCCCGCACCACGCGGCCGCTCCTACCCTCGGTGCCGCTGGAAGTGACGCCCGACCGCGGGCGGGGCAGGAGGAGCTGCCGGCGGGGATCCTCCCCCGTCTGGCTGCGTGCTCATCCACCGCTCTCC